TCCAGTAGGATTGTAGCCCTCATAGACTGGCTAAGTGTCCCTGGAGCCCTGGGTGAGTTATTCTTAGGGCAATTCCCTCTGATGCTCCCTCTCATGGATTTTTGTACCTGCAAGTTGGGCCAAAGGCACGGCCGAGATTAAAGGGGAAAATGAAAACATGTTTTTGGTGTTTCCACGAATAGGATAAGGCAGGGCGGGCTCAGCTGGCAACTGAGCATCTAGCAGATGGTTTATGAAAAACCCAGGTTTTTGAGGGGAGATTAAGGAGCAGTGATTTAGCGCCCCTGGAAACTGACAAGCAGCCTGGAATCTGTGGAATCTATCAGTCATTCATTCTGCAAGTATTCCCTTCAGTTCCAGTTTGTGCCAGGCCCGGTGCTACTTAACAGAGTGAGATCCACACAGCCACGGTCCCAACCCTCATGCAAATAGTCCCACCCTAAATGTACGGCTAAAAGCTTAGATGAAGGTGAGGAAGGAAGAGTTGAGGAGCTATGACAGGGAATAACCAGGTTATCTGATTTAGATCGGGTAAAGGCTCAGAGAAAGAGTCTTTGAGGAAAGGATTTTAAGATAACCCTTCAAAGGATCTAATGTGCTTGTTTACCAAGATCACTCTAGCTTGCTTGAAGAATCAAAAATGGAGCGTGAGGGCTGTTCATTAAGAAGATCAGAAGCGAGTTGGTGGTGGTCTAGCCAAGGATCCAGGTAAAGGGGGTGGAGAGAGAGAGAGCAGTGGATGGCAGGCTGGGAGTGGGCGGGGTCTGGTCAGGGAGTGGAGAGACAAGGAGGGATCCAGGAGGCTGTGCAGGTGTCTGTTAAGGTGAAAGGTAGATGGTGGCACTTGTCACCAAGAGATGGAATTAGCGGGCAGGGGAAGATGATCTGTCTTGTTTTACAGTTGACCAAACCGGACCCCCGCCATTCCACACCCTGCACTTCCAGTCTCTCCTTGCCTCTGCTCACACCGCCTCCATTCTCATACTCTACACGCCTCCATCCCCACTTGCTGACATCCTATCCATCCTCCGATCCATTTCCAACACCACTTCCTCCTCAAAGCCACTCTGACTCCCTCAGTGGCTGTCACCTCCGCCGCCTGTAGCACTGAGCTCAGACCTCTCTTCCCTGGCCTCCCTTGGTGTGGAAGCTCTTAAAGACCTATCTTGCCTCTCTTCCCAGACCACCCTCCTTCCCAAGTTCGTGGACCAGGTCCTCCTGCCTCTGTGTCCTTGTCCCCCACATTAGCTAATCATCATAGTAGCCTCTGACAAATATTTAGATATTTGGTAAATTCACAAGCAATAGACCGCTCTCTTTGCCATGGAAGGAAAACGAGTAGCCATTGACTTGAAAGCCACAGGATCAAACTGAAATTCAGACTGTAGGTGTTTCTATATTAAGCCAACTCAGTCCGATGCTCAGAAGGCCTTTCTGTTCCTCTGACACATGAAACTCAAAAAGTGCAGGGGAGAAAAATAGTCACATCCCTCCTACTTTTTAAAAATTGTGTTTTGAATTCATTTTACAGCAGGGACCTTGTCTATCTTATTTACTATTTACTTTTGACGATGATGACGATGATGACGAAGATGATGATGATGATGAGTAACATTAACTAAGTGCCAGGCATTGTTACTAGCACTTTTCATGGACTAACTCATTGGATCCTCACAGCGCCCCTATGCGCATAGGCTGATGCTATTATTGTCTGAATTGCACAATCAAAGAAACTGAGCTGGAGAGAGCTTAAGTATTGCTCAGCCAAGGCCACGAGGTTAGTAAGAGGTAGAG